GTGGATCGAAGATGCTCGTGTAGAGAATTATTTAAGCATCATAAAATATTAACAGTAACATCACTTTATATACTTGAGACGGTGAGCCTCATACACAAGAATAGACATACCTTACATAGATCCCTGAATCATCGTGAATCGAGGCAAAGCTCTCTCTTCAGACTACCTATCCCCTCCAGCAATTTAATAAAGGATTCAATCATCTATAATGGGATTAAAATCTACAACCATCTTCCGACAGTTATAAAGGACAGCGCATGCATTAACCGTTTCAGAAAATCGTCCAAAAAACTACTGCTTGAAATCTCACCTTATACCCTTAATGAATATTTTTCCTCCACTTTTGACTAATTATCTTAATAACTGTATGTTTACTACGTGGGCTGCTCATAAAACATCTCAGCATGTATCCATATATGAATATAAAAATCATGTGTAGAGTTGTAAAACATGTATAAATCTCAATTTATGTATATTAGTATTAGGATTTAGATATTGAGATTTTTTACATAGATGTAATCTAATTGTTTGACCATATCACATTGTATAGCTTTGTCTACGAGAATTATGTTCTTCTGACAATAAAGCATATCTTGATTGATTGATTGATTGTGACCTAAAAATAATTGAATTGCAAGCTTGCAAAGTAGTTCTGCAGCATTAATAGTGATTATTTATTTATAATTCTGGAAGATTTATTCAGATTTTTTCTTGTATGTAAGATATGGTTATAGTATGTCATACATTTGTCAGTTTTTTTGGATTATTGATCACACAGGACTGCAAGAAGATTTTATACTCGGGTAGATCAGTCACGTGCACCAAAATTTGAACTCACACAGTTTTCTATTTTTGAAGGTTGTCTATTGTAGGGGGCGACAGCTGTCTAATGGAAAAACATATAATTTTTTATCAATAGCTATTGTATAGTGAACACTATTACCAATACTCTTGAATTCAGAATTTGTCAAGATGAATTGATACATGAAATACATGCATTGCTAACTTTTACACACATACACCACCTTAACCATTTTCTTAAGAATAAATGAATAATTTATTAGGTTTTGAGAGTTCCTAACCCAAATTAATGATAATGCATTCAAACNTCGACTTCTAGGCTCAGATCAGGCAGTAGGATTGGCTGTTTCGGGACTGTAGAAATTCTATCGTTGGCGATTATTTCCTTCTGGCAGATTATTTGGCAACCTACTGGAATTTCTATTAAGTAGGTTCCGGTGAGTTTTAAAATCTCTTCTTGTTCTTCACAGATGAACTTAAGGGTCTCCATGGATGGCAGTAATACGATCCATTGATTGGAATCTTCCAGTCTATTGAAGATTGGTTTAGTGAGCTCTATTCGAACTCGATTGCAAGATGTTATATTATGTACACTCAGCATCTGAATCTTGTATGCTGGGTTGCTTTTTCCGACTTCTTGAAGGTGTAATTTTTTGCAAATATAGAATTTCAGTGAAACTCGTAGACATTCGTAGTTTTGGAATGTATAGTACAACTGATTTCTCAATAAATATCTTTTTCGAGGAATTATAGCCTCAAACTGTTTTGTTTGGAAAATGAAATCGAATTCTCGACATCTTGCAATATTGAATTTATTATTTCGTACATGTTTACGAATCAAAATATCCTTGATAAAAGTTGAATTTTCTCTGTACGTAGTTTGATTTATTATATGAAAAATTTGTCGAATATTTGAATCTAAATTTTCATTATGACTTATCTGTTGAACTGTGTCATTAAATGTATTTATCAAATCAATGGTCAGACTGTTCTGCTTTTTAATGCTATTACTCAATTTACTCTGGTTATCTTGATGTTCTCTGATCAAGTTTTCATATCTTTCGCCATCAGCGGAATCAAGATTTTCAGTCATAGATCTAAATATTGAACCTATACCATTGTAGAGACCACGTTTTGTTCGTTGAGAATGGGGTATGATTTCTTTCAATTTACTTTCTACTTTCTCTTTGTTAAATGTCAAAATTTTCAAGTAATTTGAGGTGTCATGGAGATAATCTTTATTTTTTGCAATAGTACTCATCAGTACATTTGATTGTGATTGAAGCTTATCGATTTCGATAATAATCGGAGACATATCATAATAATGAATCAGAGCGTGGGTGTATTCTTCGATTTTAGCGGTTCCTAGTTTCAGTGGGATTTGGCCTGGATTATTTTCCAAATTTCTTAGAGTAATTTTATCATGAAGTCCGAAAACAACAGGAAATCTGAAATAATATATAATGTTGAAATTAGAAATTATGTTTTCTCAAGAGGACGTTTTAGGTTGTCCATATGAACCTTTTCTTGGGAGTTTGTTAAAACTGTTTTAGACTTATTATTTACCGTTTTTAAAGTGGTTGGCTTGCTGGTTGGCAGGTATGGGCGAAAATATTTAGTAGCCCAAACGATTGCCAACAGTTCTTTTTCAATAACCGAATCATTCTGTTTTGAATCATTTAGTGTTCTCGAGGCATACGCCACAGGTAAATCATTACCTGTTGGTCCCTGGGACAAGATGGCGCCTAATGCAACATTACTTGCATCGGTGGTCAAATTGAATTGTTTTGTGAAGTCGGGATATTGCAAGATAGGCTCATTTATCAAAATATTTTTGCAAGTCTCGAAGCATGAAAGAAATTCCTCATCATGTTCGATTTTCGCTCTCTTCTTCTTTTTTTCTTCATTTAGGTGGTCTGTGCGAAAATTAGTGAAGTCGAAATTTGTTTTTTCGGAATCGTCAAAATTATCGAAATTTACTTCTATGAATTTTCGATTGAATTTTTCTACTGAAATAGGTTCAGAAAAATCCAAGACTACGGGAGATGTTGTATTGTTTAGGATTGTTGTCAATGCTTTGCCGTTTTTTGCTAACATCAAGCATTCCGGAATTTCACAATTGTGAAATTTTTGATGGGGTATTATTATTTCACATTTAGCAATTGAAGTTTTTATTTGTATAACTTGTTCTGTTCGAGGTGCAACTGTGATTAAATTAAGATGTTTTGAGTTTTATGGTACTTCAGTTTGATTTGGGTATAAGGAGTTACAAGAAGATTTTTACTGAAGTTTAAATTCGCTTGAAGCAGTTTCAAATTGTCAAGTCCTAGCAAACCGTCAAATACATTATGAAATTTAAACAAATAGAATTTCAAGTTCTGGGATTCTGGTAGTCTGAATATTTCCGAAGCAGGTACCATTGTGCTGTGTTTATAAGCTGATTTCTGAAAGGCAGTAGATACTATGAAGGAGTCATTTCTAATAGCATTTGGAAAAATTTTGAAGGCTATATATATCTCGATCAATAAATGATTTGCAAACCCAGAATCAATTGAAAGTTTAAGATTGTAGTCAGGCAATAAAATATATGGTAATTCTCCTGAATTGGAAGTATTGAAGGGAATAATTTGTGGATTTTCGTTTGGTCGTTCATTGGAGGCAGGTTCTGAAAATTTTCATCAAAATGCGGGTTTTCGTCAAAATTCTGAATCTGTTGACCTTCGCAATAATAGTTATAAGCTATTTCTTCGTAACCTTGACCTTGGTCATCGAATGAGTAAGTGGGGCAGAACTGACTTTGGTCATCTACTGAAAAGTTTTCGTCTTGATTCGGTATTATATAGCTCTTCTATATAGCATTTGAATATGCTTATGAATGTATAATAAACTGATCTCTGATTGAAACAAAAAAAACCTAATCAGGATAAAACTAGTAATGAAACAATGAAATTCAACTCGATTATGAAATAATGATAATATAAAAATTTCAGATACTTGAATGTTTTATTTCATCCATCTCTGGAATTGAAAAGATGCCCCGTTTATTTAAAGGTGTCGGAGGATTAATTTTACAAAAAATTTCATTTTCTGAATATGTCAATATATCCTCCTTCTCTGGCCATTTCCAATGCGGACCACTTTCTGCCATAGTCTTGATTTTCAAACCCGTTTCATCTGGACCGAGGCTCACTCCTGGAAAGTACTCTCCTTCATAAATAATTACAGCATATTCTCCTTTCGGAACATATAATTTATTTTTCCTTGTGATTTCACTGGTATCAAGATTTTCCTTTTCCGCTGGATTTTCCGTTTTTTTTTGCTCAGGCTCGATATAGAATCTTCTTTTTTTTTTTTCTTTTTTGCTGACGATGTCGTTGAGGTTTCAATAGAGTCGAATTTTTCTTTTTTTCTCGTGTTTGAAAGTTTGATTATGAATGCCGGCCAGTTCCCTGGAATCTTCGCAAGTCGGCTTATCTCCCGGTGTACGCTTTCGTAGACTCAGAATTCTTTCTATGGAAACCGTGTTGGACGTTGATGTTCCTATTGAATTAATTAAACTTGGCTAAAATTTAAAAAATCGATCGTTTAGTAAATCCCTGCCTATGTGGTGAAATGATCCAGGTTTACCGTCGAACCTGCCTTGTACAACTCAAAATATAGTTTATTTTATTTGTTACGGCCGGTCGTAACAAATTAGACAAAAGTTATTTTCTATATTCAATATGGATTTCTACGAAATAAACAGAGGTCATCAATCGAACAAGTGAAAACTCAAAATCATGTTTAAATCAAGCGTAAAACTTGAACTGTGATTGTACAACAGGGCCCTAAACTGGAGTTCAAACTTTAGTTTAGACTGAACCTATAAACCTGGTCCTTAATTTCATACGTGAAACGTCTGAAACAGAATGAATGAGTGAAATATGTAGGTACACCATTTTACGTAAATATGAATAAAATGGAATATGGCCAATCTCACTAGCTTTGTGTAATTTGGTCGATCTCTGTTGGCAATACTGGATAACCTTCAAATTTTTTTGGAATTAAAATCTGATAATTTATATCATCATTTTGTCATTGTTTTGTTTGATCAAAATCGGAATGTGGCGTAATTTTCTAAAGTTAGGCTTTCCTGTTCTGAGGAATTCTGTTGAAGTATCAAAACATCCTGAAAGGTACTTGTATATCATGAGTTGATTTGACAAAACTAATCAGATTATTTTTCCAGTCAGAAATCTTGCTATTCATCAATGAAAATCTTAATAAATCATAATAGAAATATTTCGCGTTCAACCACATTAAATATGTTTATTCAGACCCAAGAAACTCCAAACCCCAATAGTCTTAAATTTTTACCCGGTGTACAAGTTTTGGAGTCAGGACAAACTATTGATTTCCCCACAGGACAGGCTGCTTATTGTTCGCCCTTAGGAAAGTTACTTTTCAGAATTGAAGGAGTTAAAAGCATATTTCTTGGCTCAGATTTCATAACTGTCACAAGAAATGATGATGATGTTGACTGGAAAATTTTAAAACCAGAAATTTTTGCCACTATAATGGATTTTTTTGCAAGTGGTTTACCTGTGTTGAATGAGGCTTCACCTAATCAAGATACTCGTAAGTCAATGATTTTTAAAGTTTGTAAAAACTGATCTAAATTCATTCATATATCTGCTGAAGAACGATCAAGTACATTCATTCGAACTAACAAACATATTCAGACAATGTTATAGGTGAAATTCAATACTGTTTCTAATACATAATTTTGTTATAATTTGTACTTTGATCACGGCCGAAGATAATAGTGTGAAAGCTATTTTCCGTTTTTTTTTNTCATTTTATATAATAGACAATGGAAGTCCGAACTAGTGAAATTCATCACGAAACATTGTCAATCACCTTCAAACAAATGTAACTTTTTGTTAAGCTGTGTTGATGTAGATATATTTTATGAAGACTTCAAAAGTCAGTGTGAGTCAGTTGTTGACTCAATTGCACCAGAAAGATCATACACTTTGAAGTCAAATAGTGTACCATGGTATAACAACGAGGTTAAAATACATTGGGCTTACAAGATGTTCAAAAATAATAGAACTGAAGAAAATTCGAACTACTATAAATTTCTTCGAGATAAATGTGTGAATTTACTGAAACTCAAAGAAAAAAATACTATTATGATAAAATTGATCAAAATAGGTTAGGTTAGGTTGTGAGGATTATGTGGAAAACACTTAAACAGCTTGTAAGTCCAAAAACTAATAGCAATACGTTTACTGATGGTATTTATTTCAAAATAAATGGTCAGTCAGTCATTCATAAAAAATAATCTAGATATTGCAGAATCATTTAACAATTATTTTATTGATAGCGTACAAGAAATTGTGAACACTATTGATCAATCTGATTCACTTCATGAGAACAAGGTTATATCGATTAACAACTCCTTTGAGAAATTCAAAGTGTTGGAGTTAGCAGATCTGTCTAAATTGATCAGCGGAGTGGAAATGAAATACAGCAGTGAGATACTTAATTGCAAACTCATTGAAAAATCGTTTGGTCACAATATCAAAATGGAAAGAATCAATAGATAAGGGACATTATAATATAGCCATATTTTTAGATCCTAAAAGAGCTTTTGAGACTATTGATCGCCACATATTACTAAATAAACTGCAAAGTATTGGTATCAGGGAAACTGTTTTGTTATGGCTGACCGATTATTTATGACAACGCAAACAGGTAACCGTAATAAAGGATTCAGTGTCATCATCTCGTGATGTCATTTTTTTTTATATTATTTTTAATGTACCTGAATGCATCCATGGTTGTGATTTCATGAACCTTTTTGCAGACCACACTTTGTTATCAATTTCAGGAGATAATAAATATAGAAACAGTAGCTGATCAAATGAATAATGAACTAAGAAATGTTTTCAAGTACATGAATCNAATAATCGAATAAGATATAAAAAATCCATTATTCATTGAATTTATTATGACAGCTTAGCATCAACCTATTAGAACCAACGATTTTTTTTGTTTGAAGATCAAAAAATTCATGAGTGAAGTACAAAATGATTGTAATATTGTGGCATAGAGAAAATATTGAAATCCAAACTGATTCTGCTAATTTAACACAAGTGTAACATTTTCCTCTAAGATACAGTGTAAACGTGGTCTATAAAGTAGTTATTGAAATCCACGATGAAATGCACACACTGTGGCCACACTTCAGTAACATTTGATCCTTTCTGGGATTTGTCTCTCTCCGTACCACAAAGAACCGACCAATTGAGTTTGTGACAACTCGACGTGTTCGAAATGCAAGGAAAGGAGAAAATTCACAAAGTCCCTATCAATCAACAAGTTTCCCTATATTTTAGTAATACATTTAAAAAGATTCTCTCCAACGGAAAGTAGACGCAAATTGAATGATGTCATTGAATTTCCTCTAGAAGGAATGGATATGGACAATTTTGCAGCAGAAAATGTGGCTACTTGTTATAATCTATATGCACTTTTAAATAACAGCGGGACTACTAACAGAGGACATTATACAGCATACTGCAGACACTCCTACACTGGCGCGTGGCACAAATACAACGATTCACACGTGTCACCAATTTCACCAAAGTCGCTTGTGAGTGGAGAAGCATACGTCCTCTTTTATGTAAAGGATGGAACAAAATCGCACCTTTACGATCACCGAGGAAAAGTTTCTTTGTGCAATTATTATTTATTTTTTGTTAATTTCTTACATGTACCTGATTCGTTAAAGTTGAGCTATAAAGTTCCTGGAAATTATGAAAATGTCTAAATACTACTTTGTCATTTCTTACTGATTTTTTGGGAAAAGAACCTTCCACAATCTGAAAAATAAACAAAGCTAAATCGATAGAGAATCTGCTGAATGACAATGAAGGGCAAACTGAAAAGTTTCACCCCCAAAAGTTACTGTGTAATATAAATCACTGAGGAATCCAATTATTCAGTAACTTGTCGTATTCATAAATTTTGACTAAAAATTGAAAAATTCAATTGAAAAAGAAAAAATATTGATACTTAGCTTTCTTTAGTGGTTGACATTTCGGAACACAATCTTTTAAAATTGAAAGGGGTATATTTTTTGGGAAAGAAAGGTTTTGGCTTTCTACTTCTCCATCATTATACAAAAAAATGTGGGAGTCTTCCAAAGAAAGGAACGAAGCAATCAATTTCAAAAGAAGTAACTCTATACATAGATGTGTAGATCATGCAAAGAAGTAACTTTCAGATACAAACTGCAAGAAAAGCTCTCAAAACAGCTACTTTCATATAAAAATTAAATTACACGGAAGAATCAAATCAACTACATAGAAATAAATATCTTGAGAACATATATTCATTGAGTTATTAAAATGGGAACCGAGAATAGTTTTCTTATAGTTATGGTGTGCGGGAAAAGTATCTGTAGAGTAGGGAGTGTGTAGACCCACAGCACTTAGACCACATGTCCTGACCTAAGTCATCATCAATCCTGTCCTTTCCAGGAAGGTGGACAGGTCCATAGGAGACATCTCCTTTATATTGGCAGGTGTAGGCCAAGACTCGCCGAACACATACTCTCTTTGACAACCTTGAGGTGTCTCACGGTGACCTCCGCGAAGGTTTTGGAAGGTGCAGCGACCTTACTGTCATTGCGCGGCTTCTTCAACCTTCTTGGGGTTCCCTCCGTTGAGGTGCACAAGTGAGGGAGCTTTTCTGCAGGGGCAACCGGTTCCTTGCCTTCATTCAAGGCGGAGCCCTTGGCACCCGCCTCAGGAAGTGTCCTTGCTGTTGGAGGTGGAGTGGGGGAGGAGGGGGGGTGCACTTATAGTTGCTGCCACTCCTGCCTCTCTCGCTCTTTCTCCTTTTGGCCTCGGCGCCGCAAATGCGCTTACGCCTTGTCCTTTGTATTACATCACGAGGTGATCTGCTATGTCCAGCCTCATTTCAAGTGGTAGATTGGAGTGGACATTTCTGTTTATCCCCAGCCATCGTCTTAGATTGAGGTGAGCACTTCTGTTCAGCCTCGGGATTGGTTTTTGTTGTTTCTGTTTTTGTGTTTGTTTCATTCATATGTGTTCCCACGAGTAGCAAGGGAAGAGTTGGTCACCTCTGGCAGAGCCCCGCATTACCAGAGGTAGGCTGATCACAATGAGGTTTCGCCCAGTTCCCCAAGGGGATCATTCGTAACCGCATATCACCCTGCGGCAATTCAGCAGTCGGCACGATTCCTTACACCTCAGCTTGAGTAGGCTGGTCCACGGTGACATGTTTTGCAAAGGCTTTTGGAGAGTTTTAGTTCCCCTCACCCTACTCATTTCTGCCACTGACCAGGAGTCCGGCGACCCCGTTCGTCAGGCCACATTGGCTTCCCGGACAGGGCCTCCAGTCTCCTGGCCGTTCCCCTATCCGCCACCTGTGGACGCGCCCGATAGGTAACCCAACCCACGGGTGCGGGAAAAGTATGTTTTATTAATAACCCGTATTTCACAAAACTACATGTACCAATACATTTATAAAAAAAAATCTGATGCCAAATTTAAGTGAGCATGGGTGATAAACTGTAAATAGGTTACTGCAATTTTTTGATATAAAAACTACAGAGTACCGGTTCTAAGATGTTGAGTTCTGTTTGACAAAACATTGTATTTTTATAAAATGTTGTTTCTATCTGACGTCAAAAACCCGGCCTTATACTGTGATGAAGTAATTGGGAACAGTATCTCTTTCAAAAACTAACCATCAATCAATTTAGAGTATTCTCATATTTATCTGCATGTAACTAGATTATAGTTAGCATGTCTATACTTTCCTGATATGAAAGTTTTTTTCTTGATCAAGGTACCTAATCATAAAAATATCAACTCCAACTACATCTTGGACAAACTATTTGTAGGAAATGATTTCTTTCATTGTTTTATCTCTCCATTTCTAATATTACTCTTTCAGAAATCAATGAAGATGATGATGAAACTGTTCAAATGATAAAGGAACTCTTAGATACCAGAATTCGACCCACTGTTCAAGAAGATGGAGGTAAGAAAATTAATTTTCTATACTATTCTGTTTCATTACAGTTATAGATACATTTAGTTGAAAAAATTCTTATATCCAATATCGTTTTTTTTGATGCACTGTTTGGAACCTTTGGTGTAGTAATGAATATTACTGGAGTTTTTTTCCCAACACCAAATCGTTATTTTTAACACCTCGATTAAAACTTAATCTTCCTCTTTGAAGATGATCACTTGGTGATCGAAACACGTGTCGAGGTGTTAAAAATAACGATTTGGTATTGGGAAAAAACTCCAGTAATATCCATTATCGTTGTTGCTTTTTTCTCGAGGATGTTTAATTGAGGTCAGAAATGGAAATGAACCAGAATGTTGGTGATACAGGGTGAATCTCCAGGAACTGTATCGATCGATTGTGGGAAAACTCTAATTAGGAAAAATATGAAAATTTGACAACTCGGCTAAAATATTTTCAAGGTGGCGGCACTTTCGGTTATACCGGAAGTAGGTGTCAACTTCGTTATTTCAAATGGAACATCTTATATATCATTACATTTTTGGATGGATTCCACATCAGAATCTAATTACTTTTTGTGTATGTCCTATATCTAAGTCTAACCGCTTTTGGTCCGAAATGGCTTTTCTCAAATGGAACCCCCCATTTTTATGATTTGATCGTATTAAGCATTAAAAATAAGGATAACTTTGCGCTATTATAAATGTTATTTTTGACTGATCCCCAGAAAAAAATCGAGTACTGTCAGATCTGGAGAGCGGGGTGGTCAAAAATGTGGTCCGTTGTTGGCTATTCCTTGATCATAAAACATATTTTGCAGCTGATTATTGACTGAATGACCATTATGTGGAAGCGCCGCATCGTGTTGGTGGAATACATTTCTATGAGTTTTCATAAAATTCTAAGGCCACGACGCTGTCATTTCTTATGGCACAATAATCATTAAATTGCCAGGACTCATGAAAATTTAGTTCTCTAAATGGATGTACATTTGTGTCACTTCGATAATGGAAATTCGTAACTTCGCTTCATCCTTCCAGATAATATAAAAAAACATTTTTTTGAGATCAAAGCAAAATCTGTCAATAGAAAAATATTTAATTGCAAATATTTCAAAAACTACTAATTTTCGGAATAGGTTACCCATATTTTTAATGTTTAATACGATTAAATAATGGGGGGTTTCCAATTGAAAAAAGTCACTTTAGACGGTTTGCTAAATTTCATTTATATATTTCTTTTTTGACCACTCTACATTAATAATTATCGAAATTTCATATTTTTTTATTAAATTTGGTTCCCCTCTACAAGGAACTCGACCAAAACCTTATAGGAAAAATTGATAATTATTGTAGGGTCTGCAAACATAATTTTTGACATAATAACTCAAATATGTCAAAAACCGTTAAACTAACATATAAGACATTATACACAAAAAGTATTTAGATTCTGATGTAGAATCCAAAAATGTAATAATGTATAGGGTCTGCGTTACTATCTTCATTCGGGTTTGAAGGCCGTCGTAGTTTGGAACTGCATCCTAACGTTTCGCCAGCACGAGTGGCTGGCTTCCAGTGGTTTATTCATCTTGAATATTCACCGATGATTCTCGGTCGCCAAAGCTTTATATAGGGTATTCTATTTAAAATAACGAAGTTGACACTAACTTCCGGTATAACCGTAAGTGCCGCCATTTTGAAAATATTTTAGCCTAACTGCCTACGTAGACTTCAGTATATTGGCAAATTTTCAGATTCTTTCTAATTTATAGTTTTCCCACAATCGATCGATGCAGTTCCTGGAGCATCACCCTGTATAAATGCAACGGAAAGGGAAAAATATGTATTGTGTTTTTTTTTTATTTTTATTCAATATATGACTGTTTAAACAATTCAATTTATTGTCACTTACAAAACTCGTGTACAGTCTTATGTATCAAAAAACACTGTATTTTTGAGAAAACAAAAACATGCATAGTAGAAAATATTATGCCGTTTTGTATGTGAATATTCGGACAGTACTCGTGCACTTGTGGGTTGAATCATCTCAAAAGCACGTCATTTGCTAATTTATTCATATGTTCATCATTCATTGAACCATTTTGGTTAACTCTGGTTTGGGTTGACCTGAGCTTGGTTAACTGGTGTTTTAATGTAAATCAGTTTATGTAATAGGAAATAATTCTTCTCATTTCTATTTGAAAGAAATACCTGTGGATGATCTACATATTTCCTTGATATGTGATGGAATTGGCCGATACTTGATGAAAACCAATAACGTATTCAAGAAACACTGAATTAGTAAAGACACGCCTGAAGAAGCTATTGTATAGCGAAATACATGTTGCGTTTTTTTAAAACTGTTTAGGGAAAATCTCACAATGAAGTGTTTCTTGAATATAATTCCTTGAGTTTTCATTGACATATGTTCTTACATATATTTACGATTTTTTTAATATTCGAAGAAATAAAAATAGAAAACATTGAACAAACTATTTCTTTCATTGGTCGCTAATTCAAGTTGACAATTTATACTGGTGCTGTCTTAATTTTTCCAGTATGGGACTCAACCCAAATATATTTTTAATTTTAGGTGACATTATTTTTGTGGGTTACGAAGATGGTATAGTAAAGTTGAAGATGCAAGGTGCTTGCTCCAGTTGTCCTAGTTCGGTTGTTACTCTCAAAAATGGAGTGCAGAATATGATGCAGTTTTATATTCCGGAAGTGTTGGGAGTTGAACAAGTTATTGAAGAGTCTGAAAAAGTTTCTGAGAGGTATTTCAAGGAGATAGATAAAAAAATTGAAGCAAAGGATACTAAATGAAATGACTAAAATTTGTTAGTTTCAAATATTGTAAATATAAGAGATGTTTAGATAGAAATTATAATTTTATCCATTGAATATTCATGAATGTATGTGATCAAATGTATATAGATATCTAATTTAATTTTGATTACTCTCCTATGTGAAAATTTATTATAAACCTTCAAATGTTCAAGACATTTGCCGAATGAGAGGTAGAAGTTCAAGTTTCTGTTATTGATGTAAACATGATAGAAATTACAAGTTTCATGTGTGGACTAACAGGGAAAAATTGTTTTGTACTTCTATATTATTTTGCTTAAAAGGTAAAAGATGTGCTTTCCCTAAGCTCGCACATGAAAAAATTATCTTTTCATCACTGTTCTCAGCATTGCATCTGTATGGAGCAGGGGCGAGTCGCTAGTAGTTCCATACTATGAAGTTGTCATCAACGTATCTCGACCAGACTTGGGGCTTCTTCAATGACCAGAGTTTCAAACCACTCCATATATATCTGTTATAACTGGTGAAAGTGGCAATCCCATTGGCAGTCCCTCATCTT